GACTAAGAGCACTGTCTGTGTTTTTGTCCCCTTCTTTCTCTCTTACACACACACACACACACTGTACAGCTGCAGTCTTACTCCACTGGGCCATTCACCTCTGAGCTCCTGCTGTAAATTCCACTGGATACTGGAAACACAAACATGCCCCTGCCCAAAGTAGACTAACATCTTTCTTGCGGTCTTATTTCTGAAGGTTTTATTTTAAGTTGCACCACAGAATGCCTGATTTTGATTGGCTGATGAACATTGTAAGGAGTGCAGGTCTTAAATGGTTTAAAGTTAAGTGTGAAAACCATTTTATAAGTGGAATAATTGACTGCAGTTCATTGAATCATTAGAAAATGATGCACACTCTACTTGACGCTTCAGATGTGCATTATTTTCTAATAATTCAATGATCTGTCATGCACTATTGCTTACATTACAGGCCTGTTGAATGCTTGATCCTGATTGGCTGATGATTATTATGTTGCATGCTATTATTTTACGATAAACGCACAGCTAAAGAAGTTCAAGGCAGTTCTTGAATGGATTTTAGTCCCATGAAAACAAAAAACCTGACAGATGTAAAATGTTTCTAACTGTCCCAGCAGACACACAACATCAAAGGATGTTAATATAAGGTTAGATTTAGGTCACCAGAATCTAAGAACAATGCTATTTTGACGTCCAATAATGACATCAAATGATGTTGATATTTGGTTGATTTTTAGGTTGTGTTGGAAAGTGACCAAAATCCACCATCGAGGCAACATCTTAAGCCTATGTCATATTGACGTCAAATACTGCCATTAAGGGTGCTTTCACACCTACACTTTTTTGTTTCGGAACGTATCTCGTTTGCCCAGTTAGCGCGGTTCGTTTGGCATATGTGAACAGGGCAATCGCGCTCTGTTCCGCGCCAAAGTAATCGCTCCGAGATCGCTTGAATGAGGTGGTCTCGGCTCGATTGAAACGAACCCTGGAGCGGTTCGATTGCAGTGAGAAAGCGATCCGATCCAAGCGCAGTTATATCACAGTGTTTTATGGATATGTAATAGGCTTACGACTATATGAAGAGAGAATTACGAGTAGGGCCGGAAGTTTCGCAAGTCTCCGGATGCCCGCAAACAAGTGATGATCTCACGGTAATCTCGCGTCTCCCTCCCAGTCCTCAAATAGGCATCGTCGCGCACCCTTCTCACCCCTCCCCACCGCGTCTCTCCTCAGACACATCGCGCGCGCACCCTGTCAATTACCACCAAACCACCACCTCTCCTGACAGCTTAGCGGGCCGCTGCAAAATAAACCATGTAACAATTGTAATCTCTGTTTCGGAACAACTGAATCAATTCACAGGTGTGAAAGCACCCTTATTTGTCAGGTATGGCAACATACCTTCCAACACTCCCGGGAATATCCCGTATTTCAGACCCATCTCCCGCTACTCTCCAGTTTTGTTATTTCTCCCAGAAAACTTCAGTAATTTCACCCCTCCGTTCCTTTTTGGTACAGTCTGAAACACTATAGTATCGTATAGTATAGTAGTATCATATAGTATCTGATCGCCCTCCCGAGACCTGGTGTATAGATTCTTACCTGGTTCTTAAGCAGGTCGAACACCAGAAGCTTCGCTCGACACCACGCTGCGCCACACATTTTAGAATTCTAAACATAGGTTTCTATCAGGGTACACACACCGGCGCCGCAAGTCGGTGGCAGTCCGCGGCTCCCAGCCACGAGTCAGGACACTGTTCATATTTCTGCTGCGCCACAGAGCGCCATCTGCTTAGTTTCATTTTAAATATCATGCGAATGTGTGCGTCTGGTGTGTGATACTTTCAAGTGTGCGCCGGGTCGCGGCACTGATCGGCGCATCCGGTGTGTGACGCCCTTTAGCTGTGTTATTCAGACACCTCACCATCGACGCCAAGCCACTTCCAACAAACGCTGACGCTTGGTCCTATCGTAAACCCGATTTTCATTTCCAAACAATCTGCAACGTCCCACGATGTTGAAGTGCAACATCAATCTGACATTATGTTGGCATCCCTATCCTGCTGGGGTAGTAATAGTGTGGTAGTTTACTTTACTCTGTGCTGTTGAATTATTTATGATAAAAGTAATATGACTTTGTATTTTCACTTCAGGTATGCATTACTTTCAAATAATTCAATTGTATGTCATCAACTATTCCTTACATGGCTGTTGAATGCTTGATTCTGCAGTTATTTTCAGATAAACTACAGGAAGTACAGTATATGCTGAATGATTTCAGGTATTTCACCGCCTAGATTAGTCGAAAATTTTCAAAATCCTTTGGATGAGGTGTGTAAGATGCTAGCACCACATACGGCAGCAGTTTGAAGACCAAAAACTTGCATCAGAACAATATCTTTTGGTATGGTAACCATAGTGTAAGCAGAGTAAACGAGTGAAGCACTAGGTTGCTTGTTTTGTGGGACCATTTCGAACCCTCACACGGAAAATAACCCAGGACTGTCGCTCCGTCAGTGAGGGGAGTTTATTGTTGACTTAATTAAGGAGTCTTACACCGCACAAACCCCATATTCACCCCCATGTAGTATTTCTGAGAAGAGACAATTATTGTAATTACAGCCGTCTGATGACATGTTTGGTATAATGAATGTTTCTCATTAAGTTTCTCTAACCCCAAACAACCTGCCCCACGCCTGTTTCGCATACTGCAGCAGCAGCAGCAGCGTCTGATAGCGGTAACCCCATGTTTATAGGATTTCCACTGTTTGAAATCTAATAACATGTCTTGGACCTTAAATGTTGGCTTTGGTTATACGTCTCCTTGGATTTTATTAAAAAGCAGCATCAGAAATGTGTCGGACACCATTTCATAGCACATAAGACTGAAGCATTCATATTAAAGATTACATAAGCATTTTACCAGCAAATATGACTTAAAAAACATTAGTAGTATGTTATTTTACTTATTATGCTTATTAGATAATGCTGCGTTTTATAAAAAATATAGAAACATAAAGTGAAATATTAAGACAATTATGTACAGTGCATTTTATATTGTATTGTTATACACCCAAAGTACTTTACAATTATGTGAGGGGTCCCTCATTGTGTGCGGCATCCACCTGGATCATCTATTATTACATATTTAAATATGTCAGTTATTCTTGTGATGTCTAAACTGCAAAAATAAAAGAGCCATGAGAGCCTCATTGATCATACCAGAATCACATTGAAGCTACAGATCAGTATTATGCCTGTGTGCGTGTTTCGACCATTTTAATAATCTAAAGAGGATTTATCCACTATGAAGAGCCATTTATAGAATGAACAGAATCTATAGATGTAACAGTTCCTAATGGAACCATCCATTCCAGTAGAAATGAATCTCGATCCTGCAGATATCATAAGCTGACTTTCAAAAACATTGCTTATGATTATTGAAGCACAGTGCTGTCTTAATACACTACCTGACAAATGTCTAGTCGTCAATCTCAATTGTTAGAGCAACAAATAATGATTTGACTTCTTGTTGATCATTTGGAAAAGTGGCAGAAGGTAGATTTTTCTGATGAATCATCTGTTGAACTGCATCCCAATCATCACATACTGCAGAAGACCTATTGCAACCCTCATGGACCCAAGATTCTCATAGAAATCAGTCAAGTTTGGTGAAGGAAAAATCATGGTTTAGGTTTGCATTCAGTATGGGGGCATAAAAGAGATCTGAAAAGCAGATGGCAACATCAACAGCCTGAGGTTTCAAGACATTTGTGCTGCCCATTACATTACAAACCACAGGAGAGGGCACATTCTTCAGCAGGATAGCGCTCCTGATCATACTTCAGCCTCCATATCAAAATTCCTGAAAGCAAAGAAGGTCAAGGTGCTAAGGGATTGACCAGCCCAGTCACCAGACATAAACATTATTAAGCATGTCTGGGGTAAGATGGAGGAGGCATTGAAGATGAATCCAAATAATCTTGATGAACTCTGGGAGTCCTGCTAGAACGCTTTCTTTGCCATTCCATTCCAGTTATTTGACTCATTGCAGAGATGTATGGATGCAGTCCTCTAAGCTCAGAGTCATACACAATATTCATTCTTTTTTCACTGCACATTGACTTTATATTCTATACAGTACATTATTTCTGCTAAGTGACAAGATGTTTGTCTAAGCAAAGTCGGACCTTACTGTCCTAATTAAATCATAAAAAATCAAGGCACGATCATATTTTATTTTGGTAAAATAAGCATAATCTAGAGGCTTTTGCCTTTCATATAAGCCACTTCTGATACCAAATGATCAACTAGAATTCAAGCTATTATTTGTTGTTCCTAAAACTTGAATAGAGACAAGACTTTTAATTAATCAGGTAGTGTATCTATATGGAAACGATGATGCATACTTTTTCCGAATTCTGGAAAAATTGTAAAGTTGTAGAAATCTTTTATAACATTAAAGATGTATTTACTGCCATGGTTAATTAATTAAATGCATTCTCTCTAAGAAAAATGATTCATTGCTTAACAATTGTTAATTTTGCATGTGCATGCGCAGACATTCCCTCTCAGACACATGCAATCAGTAGAGCAAGTGACATCGCTGTGAGGTGAGTTAGAGTTAGGTTTGGTGTAGACATTTCTGAGTATGCACGTCTCACTGTGCCAGACCCTTTCTTACCATCTAGACTTTAAAATGATAATGTAGCCTTTTGGTGTCAAACATGTTCACACTTGTGCTGATTTTTGCTAGGACACCTGTGAGAACCTTGTGAACTAAATATCACCAAGATGAAAATAAGAAGTGCCAGCAGAAATGTGAAGTCAGATCCTCTAGTATAGGTTATTTGCATGTGTCACAGTTTAAAATTTTAGTATCTCTGCAATGAATTTTTTATATTTAAACTTTGGCTAAACCAAAGCTTTCTGAGGCCACTGTATGTATATTATTCTAATGCTAAATATACTCTGACTTGTGTCTTTTTTTTTTCTGTGTGTATGTGTGTGTGTTCCATCAGAATGAAGGAAGTTCTGTGCTGACATTGTGGAAAAAGCTGTAGTAAGAGCCAGAGAGCTGGAGAAGGGAGATTGGTGACCGGAGGAAGTAATAATAGCGTGTGTCCTGACTGATAGTTTGCTGGACGCTCTTGTGTTAGTTTACTAATGAGTCTTTTCCACTTTCCTCCTCTCTGACGCTGCATTTAGCATTCCGGGACTCGTCTTTGGTCATCTTCTGCAGAGTTTCAGCAGTGACGCTGTTGGGTCGAATGACGGCTTCGTTGCTTGCCCTGAGGAATTTTTCCTGTCATAGAAGTATTTCTGACCTAAGAATGCTTTGTTGTGCACTCTGGACTGCTTGTTAAGCAAACATTCTTATCTTAGATCTTGATAAGAACGTAAGACCGCCACTAACTTCCCTCTTCTGACATCACATGTGTGGCTTAATGTCCAGCAAGGTCAGACATGCTACTCTTCTCATAGTTTTAGCTATTGTTTATTAATATACAGTGCTCAGCATTTATAAGTACACCCCCCACAAACCTCTCTTTTAAATTCATATTTCAATAGGAAGCTATACAACACTATATTTGTGCATATACTGTACATTAGATCAGTCAGTGCTGAAGCCAAATCTGGATCTTTTTTAGGTCCAAAAACTAATACACCAAGATGTATGTTATAGAAAAATATGAAATACAAATTTTAAAAGGGGGGAAAATCAAGAGAAGCAAAAACAAAAAAATTGGTTAATTTTTGTAGGTTGTATTTTATTTTATTTTTTTTTTTTTGCAATATTTTGCTTGAATTTAATTTGTATTATCTTTTCATTTCTAAATTTGTTTGGTGACTAAAATATTATTTTAATAAACATATCTGTTTAATAAATCTGTTTTGTTTAAATGCACCAAAATACATTGACTGTTTTCACTACAAAATTAATAAAAATATTCATTTTCAAAATGGAGTGTACTCAGTTATGCTGAGCGCTGTATATAAATATTCATTTATATTGTATAGTGTGTATTTAATGTAATTTTATTAAATGTATACATGATGTTATGTGTATGGATAGTTATATTTAAATTAGAATTAATAAATATAGCCCTTTTAATATTCTATATATAAAATCTGTCATTTTTATTTTTATAATAATGTATATTAAATATATTATTATTGTTTTTCATGTAATGTTCTAATATCTAATATTATTCTATATTAATATTCTATTAATATATTATAAATTAATATATACAATTATGTGTATACAATATAATTCAATTAAAATATAAAATTTACATTTTATTAGGTATCCTAAATTTTTTAGTTTTTATGGAATCATATGATTAATGTAATAATAAAATAATGTGCTTTCATTAATATTATTAAAAGTATGGGTAATTAAATGTAAATTAGAATAAATAAATGATGGCCTAGTTAATATTCTATTTATAAGACAAATATTTTAAGTGCAAGTTGCATGAATACAATCTTATTTACATATTTTGCTTATAAATTAGCATAATGTATATATAATACATTGAAATAATAAAATATATATATATATATATATATATATATATATATATATATATATATATATATATATATATATATATATATATATATACACACACACACACACACACACATAATATAAATTTGTTGTTTTACAATATTAATAATGTAATGTTCTATTAATTTATACTTTGAATAATACACATGCGTAAATATTAGTTAAATATGTAATTGTGTATACAATATACTTAAATTAAAATATAAAATTTAAATTTTATAATTATTATAAATTATTTAATTTATAGTCTCATGATTAACGTAATCATAGAACAATGTCATAGAACAATGTGCTTTCATTAATATTATTAAAAGTAAATATATAATGATGTATTTATGTAATTATATTCTGACCCAGACAGAATCTGCAGACTTTTTTTTGCTACATTTTGTACAATTTTGAGAGTATAATAACTAAAAACATAACACATAAAATAAAAATTAAATAACTTTTTAACTGTTATTTAAGGTTTACAATGCAAATCCAATCAGAACAACTTGTTTGGTAAACAACGTAACTGTTTTGTACATACATAAACCATAAAAATATTAAAATAGTATTCAATAATATTACAGAAATTAATTTAGAAACTGAATAAATATATATTTCTGCACATTTGCATAATTTAATAAATTGATTGAATGATGGGCTCAGAAATGTGCAGACTTTCATGTGTGCACAGATTCTCTGTGGGTCTTAATATTTGTAAATCAAACAAATTTATATGTACAGTATATCATTTCATGTGGTTATTAATACAGCACAGTACATTTAGCATTTTTCATCTACTCGAATACACCCACAAACCCTAACCATTAACACCCTTGGAGGTGTCATAATGGTTGCACATGAGTATATATGAGAATGTTAAAGAAGTGCACTTGCAGGTCTGTTGGGGCATGCGCTTATGGGCCAGGCATCACTGTGTGCCGCCATTGGGAGAGGCTCCAAATAAAAAATCTCAGAAGTGGAAACTGGAACAAATAAAAATAGGATTCATGTCCTCTCCACTTCAGAGGTTTTGGAAGCATGAAAGGAAACTTGTTTGTCAGTCTCTTGCGGCTTAGAAAGGGCTATATGTTACTTTTAGACCAAAATATGGTGCAAACCGAAACGGTCTGGCCTAATAGAGGGACTGGTTCCTCTAGAGATTCCTACGGCAAACGTATGCATCACATGCTCCACATTTACAAGCTGCTTGCAGTGAAGCTGAGCAATCAATGCACTCGCTGACACCTCCCCTCCCCACACTATCTGATTGAACATTAGCAAACCTTTGAGCCTTGCTTAACGCACGCTAAAATGGCATGGTCTTAAAAAATTCTTTCAAAAAAATGCTAAGAGTTTTGCTGTGAGTCGAAACTCTGTGTCCTGTGCTGTGATGTCCTACTTGTTAATGATAAAACTCATCAGGTGAAAGTAAATTGTCTGGTAGACCCAAATGCTGCTGTCTGTTTAAAGGGGTAAGTCACCAAACAAATGAAACTTCTATCATCCTTTAGATTCCTTAAAGAAGATATTTTGAAGAATGTTCAGCCTGATCTCATGAGGAAACGTAAGTATCTTGCGTTTTGTCAGATAGTGGCTAGAGTTAAGTCGTACGAAAATGGATGATTTTAAAAAGGAGGCATGGCACCCAACCCCACCCCTAACCCCAACCGTCACTGGGTAATGAGCAAATCAAACTAAATAGTACGAATTAGATTGTACGAATTCATACGAATTGGCCACTAAATCAAAAAGTAACGAATTGGCGTGAGATTCCGTTGGAATATTGGAAACTGGTAGCTATTAACGTCCATGGTAAGAACAACAAACACTATGGGAAGTCAATGGCTGCTGCTTAACAGAATTCTCCAAAATATCTCCAACAGAAGAAGGAAATTTCAGACAGGTTGGAATATTACATGTTTTTTATTTTATTTATTTATTTTTTTGTAGGGGGGGGGGGGAACTACTTTTAGATTATTTAAACACACTGAAACATTAACGATGATTTTCAAGGATGTCCTTATTGCATAGTTTCACTTTCATTCATTCATTTTCTTTTCGGCTTAGTCCCTTTATTATTTTGGGGTCGCCACATTGGAATGAACCACCAACTTATCCAGCATATGTTTTACACCAGCGGATGCCCCTTTAGCTGCAACCCATCAATAGGAAACATCCATACACACTCATACACTATAGACAATTTAGCCTACCCAATTCACCTAAACAACATGTCTTTGGACTTGTGGTGAGAAACCGGAGCACCCGTAGGAAACCCACATGAACACGAGGAGAACATGCAATCTCCACACAGAAGTGCCAACTGACCCAACTGAGGCTTAAACCAGCGACCTTCTTGCTGTGAAGGAATCGTGCTACCCACTGCGCCACAGTGACACCCTAGTTTCACTTTCAAACACTGAATTTATGGGTGACAAAATATTATTTGCTAACTTATTGTGTTTTGAGCAGTTAATACGCCCAGAAATACCAAAATAGTTTTACCTAATTTGTGCTGATTATTATGCTGCATTGGACAATAAACTGCTGCTTAAAGTCATTTGCACATTGATATGTGATCATTTGCAAATGTTTGAGTGATGCATCGTTGTGTCACCACAATAATGTTTGTTTGTGAAAGCTTTTATGACATTTTTTTCACAAGGTTCCTTTTACACCATCAATGTTGTAATGTAATTAAAATATAATCAGTTAATAGACTTAAGCATCTATTTGGCTGTTAAAGCATACACAGAGACCGTTTAAACGCAGGCGCTGTCATTAGCAGCTGTGTTTTGTGCAGTTAATTAGCACCCAGAAATAGCAATATAGCAAAGTTCCTATAGTTTTACCTAATTTGTGCTGATTATTATGCTGCATTAGACAAGAAATTGCTGCTTAATATCATTTGCACATTGTTAGTAGTTCACTTGGAGTGGTACAAGCTCCATATTAATACCTCAAGGGTACATATTAGTACCTAAAAAGTACAAATATGTTCCTCTTAAAATGTTTAGGTGCTAATATATACTTTTAAGGTAACTATATGGACCCTTTAAGTATAAATGAATACCTTTTAAAAAGGTACTACCGCACTGACAGCTTGTGTACCTTTATTTCTGAGAGTGTATGGATGTTTCCCAGTGATTGGTTGCGGCTGCAAGGGCATCCGCTGTGTAAAACACATGCTGGATAAGTTGGCGGTTCATCTGAAAATAAAATGAATGAATGACACAATACAATAGCAGCCGAAATATTAATTGATATATTCTTGCAAAACATATATTCACAGCTGTCATAAAAAAATCCCCAAATTGTAGTTTAAAATACAGGTAGATACGGATATTTGTTTTGTTTGTCATTTGCAAGTCACTTTGCATAAATGGAACAAACGTTTTGCCCAAATGAATAGCTGTAAATGTCAGTAAAGATGAATGAAAGAGAGAACAGAAAGAAGGCAACTGTGGCTTCTTTTGAGGCCTTCTTGGGGAAACCCACAATACGGGTACAGTTTTGGAGTCATCTTTCAAGTACGGCATGGTCAATGAATGCCAACAATGGTGAACTATGACACGACTGAAACTTTGAAGTAAAAAAACAACCAGGACTGCAGGATTTTTCCTTTGATGCCAGGTGTAAAAAAAAACAGTCTTTTTATTGTACATTTAATGAGTGGTTGATTTGCAGAGAGTTTATGTGTTTAAGAACTTCACTGCATAACTTATTTTGGTGTATTTATTGAATTAAAATCTCTTTTATATGTAACAGAGCATTCACATGTAATGTAATCAAAGGGTTGCTTTTTTGAATAATCAGTACTGTTTAATCACATCCTAATTGATTAGATTAGACCAATGCATTTCAAGTCTTGCAGCAACAAACTTCAGGAAGAAGATATGAATCTATATCACCATAAGAGGAAACTGGTATCTACATGCAAAATATGAAATGCAGCACATTTGTATTCCTTGTTACCGACCTCAATATTTAAATGCATTATTTGAATTATGTAGTATCTATCATGAGGACTTTCTATATAAAAACAACACCTCACAAACAGAAATTCTCCATGCTTGTACTGCAGTTTTAAAAGGAAGGCGCCAGACTATAGACTAAGTGCTTCAGTGGACTTGAGTTTGATGAAAACGCAGAAAGAAAAAAATGCTTGCCATGCAAGTTCACTCAGTTTGCATCATAAAGAAGAAATGCACAATATTGTTTGCATCAGTTCAGTGAATGAAACTCAGTGGGGATCATTCAGTGACGTCTAACTGTCAAGCGTTTATTGTAAATTCTTTGGGCAAAGGCTGAGCGATGATGATCCAGACTGCATAATGCAGTGATCCGGTTCATATCAGCGAGTGTAATGAGTTCCTGCACACTGCGAATCAAACACAACACCAGAATCGAGAGAACGGCGACGTCATGGAAAGAATGACGTCAGGTTTAATTAGCCGCCGGGGGAAGACTCGTCCATGACTGTGGGCGGGGCTAAAAACGCCGGCTCGTGCTGAAAGCGTGCTGTTTATTGAGTTAAAATAAACAATGAGCCTCGACAAGTTATTTTATACTTAGCCACTTTAAGGTACACGCTTATAAATTATGTTAATACGCGCGAAGGTTACACAGAGGGTGTGTCCAATGTGATTGACATCTCCTCCCGGCCAATGAGAATCGTCAGACATGTCGATGGGCGTTATCCTGACGTGCATCACATGTCTCAGGCGACGCGGGGCTGTGGGAGGGCTTTCTCTGCAGATTGGAGGAGCTAGATAGACGGCAGAGTGAGTCTGAGGGAGACCGAGAGAGAGAGGGGGATCTCTGAGGCACCGCTCGGAGAGCATTGTGAGTGTAATTTCATCATTTCTCTTGTGCACGCTAGTGCTTTTGCCGCATTTGAATTGCACCATTTTTTACGTCGCTTCCTCTCTGCCGACCGATCTTCATTCACCGTATTGACCGTTAGCCTGCGTTATTATCAGCTAGCCAAATTGGCTAGGCAACTCCTGCTAGTTGGTAGCAGGCAGAGAAAGGGGCAAGAAGGCAACCAGGCTGCTGTGCATTTTTAACCCACACCTGCCTATTGTCACTGCAGGGAGGGGGTGTGTGGAAAATCAGCGGGCTTTTAATGTATCGCACCATGTCGAGACGCAGGGAGGATGTGTAACGTTAGTGCACGCTGGAAAGTTGCTTTTGACGCGTGAAAATGTGTTCGACTGCGCGTTTCTGAAGCCGCGATCGCACGATATATTTGAGCAAAACCCCTATTCAAATAGACATGCGTGATGTTTAACGGTATCCAAAACATGTAAATGGGAGCTTGTATGTGTTTTTTTTTTTTTTCACCGGTTACTCCAGGCAGGGTGACCCTAACGTTATTTTAACCGCCGTTTGTTTTTTTAAGCCGTCAAATGAAAGGATCACACTGTGACTGTACAGAACCGTTGACTGTTATATGCGGTAAGAGTGCTAACTCACTATAAAGTACGATCTGTATTATTTTAAACGCGCGATTAATGACAGTTCGCTCATGCGAAAGACTGTCAAACGAGCTAACGTTAACTTGTTCAGCTAAGCGACCGTCTCTGTCCATGGCTTTTGACATTAACGTTAGCCAGCATGGTGATTTTAGGGTTGTACCAGAAGGGAAAATCAGCATTTGAAATGCGACGGAAAGTTGGAGAGCGCCTCAGTTTCAGGAAAGGTGAGATGCTGGTCTGGTGTCATTGCTAAGATTAAAACAGTAACGTTACTGCCTTTTTGACAGGTTGACTTGTGTTGAGACCGCTAGCAGGCTAAAGCCAAACGCGAGGACGCTTCAGCTGTCAACTTGCCTTACGAGCCGTCTACCTGCTTGTCGGTAATCGCGTTTTTATTTTGTGCTTTAAAACAACCCCCATTTAAAAGTGCTCATAAAATGTCACTTAATTCATAGCGTTGTTCCAAACCCATCTTGATAAGAGATGTTAGTCGTAATGACAGTCGCTGTTAACTTGAATTGTTTGCCGACGAATGCAGCGGTAACTGTCTGTCGATAAGTTTCATGACCAAAGCGAGGCGTGTGACAGCATTAGGCTGAGTAAATGATTTTTCATTTTGAGAGAACTGTCCCTTTAAGCTTGGCGCATTCGTGTCAACAGTTGTAGTATACAGTCCTAATTCCTCCTGTCATGTGTGACTGGGCATGGAGACTGGAACAAGCGCTGTGCGACACGTCAAATTTGCTAGGATCGTATTTGAAGGAGCAGATGTGCAAAACACAATGTACCCAACCTAATCGGCTGACTTATTGTGTGTACTGTCTGCCTAATGTGTTGAGATTAAATATGCCACCTAGAATTTCTAGATAGACCCCGGTGTGCGTTTAAATGGCGTGTCTGGTCTGTTGCTCCTTGGCGTACATCATTCCCTGCCCTGTTGCTTCTTTTGCACAAGCTTTTATAGCTCCTGATAATACCTCTCTGTATGACAGCAATGCCGAATTTGACCTTGAGTCTACATATTCAGCTTTCTCCAACTCAAATCATAAGTGCACTTTGTGTTCGCTTCACTTAAATGCTGGACTTCAAATCGTGAGGATTTTGTTGCAGTGTTTCAGAGCATCAAACTGGCTTAGTTAAACAAAAATATATAGTGTTTTCTAAATTACTGCATATGACGGAAATATGAATTGACCTCATTGACACTTAAAATTTTTAATGATTTACCCTCAACATTAAATAAACTAACCTTTGACTGTGCTGATTGAGCTTCAGAGGCCTTTGGACTGTCTTGTGCACAGGCCCAGTTGTATTGATTTAATATCTTATTTTTTGCCCTAGATGTTACTATGAAATAAGATCTTATTCCTATCATAGCTTTGGTAGAAACAGTGTGTGTTTAAATGATGATTATAACGAATCTTATTATCATGCATGCATTTTAATATGATCATTGGCATATTATATTAGTATAAATTACTGATTTAAATGCACATTTTTAGAGCGTAGGATGAAACAAAGTCAGGCTGCTCTCACCAAGAAACATATCTTGTTGGAATGTGGAAGTTTAAATGCCATTAGACAACATTTTTTTGAGGAGAGTATACTTTGATGGACATTTTTAAAAAGGTACCACCAGGAAGAATCTGAAATTATTTATCAAAAATTGAACTAAAAAATCATATTTAACTTTGAATATATTTTGTGTGAATTTTATTTATTTCTATCCTGTATATTTACTCTTATAGTTACAATAGTTACAATAGTACTTACAGTTAATTTACAATAATTTACTTAATAGTTACAATAGTAACTTTTTTTGTAGTACAAATTCGTTTGTATCATGCAATATTTTATGTATATTAATTTTGCCACGATATAAATAAATAAGAAAATAATAGATAAATTAACTGAAACAAAAAAATGGTAACTGGAGAAAAATATAGGAAAAAAGTGAAACTTCTAAAATATAAAATATTTCTAGTTTACTATAACTTAAAACAAACTTTTAAATGAACTTTAAAAAAAATAAAAAAATAAATATAAATATATATATATATATATATATATATATATATATATATATATATATATATATATATATCTTTATTAAAGCTTTAAAATAAAATTGAAAACTAATTCAAACTATTAGCAACATTTACAAAAGTTTCTCAGAGATATAACGGGTTCCCTGTAGGCTTTAATCTCTTTTTTTTTATATATATATCGCTTATAAAAAATATATAAGCGATTTAATATATATATATATATATATATATATATATATATATATATATATATATATATATATATATATATATATATATATATATATATATATATTTTTTTTATAAGGCAATGTGATTCCAACTAAATGGTGTGGTAAAATGTGGACTCTTTGTACAATGCATTCTGTAATGTTATATTACGTCAATTAAGTAAATGCGAATGTGTTCCATACTGACTGGAATGGAAAGATGGTAACTTAGCCCCTCTCTCTAGTATTGTTTATGTAAGAGGCCACTGCCTTGGTGTCACATTAATCTGAGGTGACATTCAACCCCTCATAAGCTATTATAAACCGCTAAAAATAGAGTGCTCCTCTATTAAGTACGTTTAAATAATGTTGCTATTTAATTACTCCATAGCGTCATGCTTTATGCTTTAATCCGACATCGATGACAGAGATCAAATAGGCTTCTTAGGGGCAAATGAGTTTTTTGTTTGCAGCCTAAATGAGCTTTGTAAATAAGAGCGATGCGCACATTTTCTTTGACCTCGGATATAAATGATCACCTTAAAGCCGCCGATGGCTTGCTGTTCAGGCACAGTACAAAAATGATATGCAATCAAAAGTATTATTGTGTTTTGATGGATTCCATGGGAAAAACAGTAGTGAAAGACAGAATGTGAAAGCAGTGCTTTTTGACTGCTGCTTACAGGTGCTGTCTTTAAAAAGTGTGGATCTAAATATAAAGCACAGAAACAGAACTTTATTCATGTCACTCAAGCACACATCCGTTAATCCAAGTGTGTTAAGCAAATATAAATTCGGAAGCCTCATCGTGGCCATTATCCCATCAGGTTCAAATGGTTGGAGTCATGTCTGATTTATTGTGCAGTGTCAGACTTGGAGGCAAGGGATTGGAGCAAATGGTTGGCTTGTGTGCTGTGACAGGCACCCGTAACAATCACCCCAAAGGTTCCTGCTCTTCAAAATTACTTTTTTTTTTTTTTTTTTTTTTTTTTTTTTTTTTTTTTTTTAATATGCTGTTTTTAGCCATGGTGGTGAGAACATGATCACACTGTACGTTTAAAGTGTTAGGCTGTTTGCGTTTTTAATATTTTCCTATATTGCATTTTTCTAACAAACCGGAGGAAATCGATTTTCTCTCCAAGTTCTATAATTTATATTTTAAATATATTATTAAGCTTTAGTTACATTGTAATAATAATAATAATGATGATGATAATAATAATAATAATAAACGGTTTTCTTCTCCAAAAACTACTTATTTTCTTCAAATTTTTTCTCCAAAAATCTGATAAATTGATTTTAATTTATCTGGATTCTGTCATTTATAATTTATTATGAGACTTAATTTCTAAATGAGTAAACTTAAAGTTACGCTGAATGAAATTCGGTGCTCCAGTTAAAATACAGCTATTTTCTCTTTTCTTGCTTGGAACAGAAGTAAAAAGGGGTTGTTAATACCTTTTTGGAGATATATTGAAGGGCGAACATTCAGCCGCACTGCTGAGAATGCAGTTTAGATGAATTTATAAATGTTTTACATGCTATGATAATACATGTAAAACGACAGTGGTGAGAAAACTACAGTCGAGAAAGCATCTGATTGCACAAAATCTAAATGTCCCCGGCATAGTGCCAACAGGTGAGGTAAATAAAATGATGCTGTTATGATCGTTTAATTAGACTGTAAAATATTTATTTGTGTCAATCGAACAGGGCCGATTCAGTTATTTTCATTTGAGGCCTGGGTTATCAAATTTGTTGTGACCCAGGGGTTAGGTGGCTGTCCTGATGCGTTCCCTGAGGGAATATAAAAGGACAAATAAACTAATACTGCAACTAATTACTCAGTTATTCTACAGATGTCAGTGATATTACATACTTTGTGGGAATAAAATGCATATTCAGCGGTATGTTATACTAATTTCTTATACCTAACTTTTATATTATGGTTAAATTAAATCTGTTTAACAATGTGACCACAGGTAAACCATGCATGTCTCCCTTACTGCCCTGGTTCAATGTAGGTTAACTGTGATTATGGTTGCGGTTCTATGAAGCTTCATTTGTTACTAAAAACAATAACTCAGGTAAAAACAATGTAGAAAGGCACAAATAAACAGAAACAATCATGAAGAAGCACTTTTTTTTTAATAAAAGATAAATGTATTATTATTTTTACTACTTCTATAAGCAGCGCATGAATAACACCAATAACATGGCATTTCTGCTAAAACATCTAAAGTGGTCTTACTGAGGTGGTCTTTGTTACTGTCTGGTGATGCAGTAGATGGCAATAGCATGAGAGATTTTCATTCAGAACAGATCCAGAGAGTCTTTGTAAAATATCTTGAAAATTGTGCACACAGTATACACAATTACCAATGTGAAAGCAAGCACTCGATATGCAATTTGTGTGCATATGCAAATTATGTTTGTATGTGACTTTCTCTTTAAGGTCCCTTTTTGTTGTTAAGAGGCCAGTAATTTTTTCAGCCTACTCGTTCTTACAGTAACTCTTAATAACAAGTATTTTAAATTATTCACTTAGACATTTATGATTGAACAGTGTTTATGGATGTATTTTGGATACTTGGTTCATTAGGTTTTTTTTCTATTGGCCTATTCAGATATTTATTTGCTTTTTTTGTAATGCACTTATAATATAATCAAGTTTTATTTACCTGCAGAGTGCATTTAAATCATCATCATCACATTAAATACCTGAGTGTGAAATATGTTAACCTGTGATATAAATCATCAGAGCGTGTTAACCAAAGAAAAGCAATAGCTTGGCTCTGAAGTGATATTAATACCAAGGAGGGAAAATAATTTTAACATTGGCCAGACCATATTGCCAATTTCCAGTGCTCCACCCTAAAGAGGGGGCTACAATAGAATAATTTGGACAAAAACACTCTTTGTGGCCAATCAGCAGTGGTCTATTAACCACAGTGACTAATTCAAAAA